CGCTACTCAATGACCTCACATTCAGGTGTTCCAAGTCCCAGCAATTCCTAACTACCCACTAGGGGAATTAGGTCCTCTGAGAACAGAACTTGCCCTTGGTGTCCCAGGAAAAAGTTTCCAGCAGTTCCTCAGAGGCTCTTTTGCATTTCATAGAATCACAGAATGGTTTGGGTTGTAAGGGACCTCAGAGATCATCTAATTCCAACCCCTCTGCCACAGGCAGGGTTTCCAGCCACTAGATCAGATTGATCAGGACCCCATCCAGCCTGGCCTTTCTTAACTGGCTGGAATGAAAAGCTCCAGATGAAAGTCTATTTCTTCCAGAGAGGAAATATCATGTCCAAAAAATGCACCAAACTAGCTTGCCAGCTGTTTTCATATTTGAGGAATCTGAAGCGCAGAATTGAACCTATCTTTGTTCCCCTCTTAATGTATTTCTTTGCAAAGGCAGTATAATTCCACATTTGTATTTTCATTCCAAAGCAAATGCTTCACTGCGCTTTTTATTAAAATGAAATCTGGTGTGTGCAGCCTTGTATTAAATGAGAGACTATTAAAGCCAATCAGTGGAGAACTCATTAGTAACCCTACAACAACAAACTAGTAGTTATGGCACAGCATTCACAAGCAGCCATGACAACCAGTAGGAAGAACCCAGGTCTTGTTGAAGACTATAACAGAAGCATAGCTTATGTATAGCCCAATGACTGAATAGCCATACAAAATGGCTGTGCTTCTATTCCTCAAATGACATGTGCCAGAAAACACATTCTTTTACCACGACTCATCCCTGAATACCTCTCTCAAGAATGCTCCCATCATTTAGTTATTTCTTCCCACTTCTAAAATATAGTAAGAAGCGTCCATCCTGAGCTCAAGGAAATCTGTCCCATCTATTAAAATAACAAAATAAGCAGAAGGCTGCCTCTGAATGCATCCACCTCTGCCCACTCACTCCTTAGCAGCCATGCTGAAGAGAGAGCAGATGACTTTTGCAGAATGCCTAGAAGGTTATTAACTCTACTTGGAAGGGCAAGAAGGAAGAATTCCAAATCTGAGCATCTCTCCAGAGGAAAATCATGTTAGAAACTCCTTCTCAATCTCTGAAATCTTCTCATGTGGCAGAAGAGAGTAGGGAGCACAGTGATTTGCTGAATGCTCTGGAGAAGACCGGTTATCAAGATAACTACAGATTCAGTAGACTGGAACTTTCAAACCAGATAGCTTTCTGGATGCTGGAATAAATAAACAGATACTTATTAAAAGAAACACCAAAGAATTAAAGAGTGTAATTGAACTGGAAAACAGTATTTGGATAGTTGAATTCTATGTGATCACCTAAGCCTATTAACAGCATAAATTGAAATAAATCCCTCACTGGAGGAAAACTTTCAAGAATCCTTCAAATCTTTCAGAAAGAAAAATAACATTTTTTGTAGAACTAACTTTCCTTATGATATCATGCTTCTACTAGCTAGCAAGCTCATTTTCTAGGACAAAATCTGCAAACTCACACTTCTGCAGTTCTAATCCAACACAAAGGAGTACCAGTTTCAAGACTGACAAGCAACAGTTGCTATGAGACCATTATTAACATGAGGAGATGCATACCAAACACCTACATTGGTGAGAAATGGCATTTAAGTAACAGTCCATCCTGATTCTCTTTATGCCTCTAGCCATACTTCAGGCAAAGCTTTCTTAGTGCAAGTGCTTACAAAACCAAAAAAAAAAAAAAAAAATGCCCATGAATTAGCAGATAAAAATATGGAGAAATATCAATGGAGTGGGACCATTTGATTTTAGCTGCATTCAGAACTACTACAAAAGGATTCAGAAGCAGAAATAGGGAAATGACAAAGTCACAGTCTTAGCAAGTGAAGTGTTTCAGCGGAACTAAAGTTCACATGTTTTTTAGTTATAAGTGTCACTTTCCAAATAATAAAATTGGTAGATTCTTTTACTGCCTTCCAGCAATGGATTTGAAGCAAACCAGACCACCTTGGATTAACTTCAGGAGTTTCTGAAACCCCAGCTATGTGGTGATGTATTATCTGAGGTCACACACACACTTTGCAGTCTCCCCAGACATCAAACCCACATACATACATTTCTCTATTCTGTGTAGGCATGCGGAGGGGGAACTGTAAGCTGCAGATGGCTGAATATAGTATTGCCAGGTCCGGGGCATGTCTAAAATTAGTTTTCCAGAACCTTCAGTCCAGCCCAAAGCATACCAGGAGAGGTTTAAAGCTTAGCACATAGTAAATTCCAGTGAGTTCAACAAGACTTGAAGGTATGAACACAGATCATAACCATTAACCTCTGCAGGTAGTGAGGTGAACTCATATCTTCATCTTTGCTTTCTTCCCACTTCCCTCTCCTCTCCTTCCTCCTGTCCAGATCCCAGGCTGTAAGGCTGAGCTTGAAGCTGATCACATTTCTGTTAGAACTTTGGATGTGCAAAGGCAAATGCTGATTTTGGACACCACATAACATGCCAAAAGGTGTCTGAAAGTAATTGCATTTAAAAAGAAGCCCAAGCATATAACTCACTGGAATTCATGCTGTTCAACCATCTCTCTCAAAAGTACAGACAGAGTACAAGTGTTTGCAGGAGAAAGAACTCCCATACTAGCATATCACAGGTCAGTGTCGTGCAAGGCAACGCGATTATTTACACTGCGGCTGCAGAAGCAACTTCCACAGAGTATAGTGATTTCTGAGCTAGTGCAGATGCCCAAAGCAATCTAAGCAGAGGCAGAATGGAGCTTGGCCTGGACTAATTGCCTTGGCTTTTCAGAGAGACTGATGTCAGCGTCCAAACTAAGTTGGGTATATGCACATGCACCTGCAGTCATTCCCATGAACGTTATAACCACGACAAGGGAAAAGAAACAACACGATTTGGGCCACAAAGGTGAGAAAAAATATAATACTTTCCAAACTGACAAGAACTGCTTCAGTGTGGGATGCCCAGGCTCCAGGGCATATCTACACTACACAACAGTGTTGTCATATTTAGAGATTAGAGCATTTCTGAGCTGGTGCCTCCTATCCAATGCCAAGAAGAGCTTTTCAGAGATCTGATGGGTCATACGTAGCATAGCTATATGGGTATGATTTTGTGCATCAGCTAATTAGCAGGTCTCTACAGAACACAGCATCTCACAGCAGGAGACAACATTTTGTTTTCTAAAGAAATGCTGAAAAGTCACAGCATAGCTCTCCCTTTCAGAATCTCTACTCAGAAAAGTAAAAAGCAACCTGCCTTTATGTGACTTCTGATAACTTTATATGTATTAAATATAACTTTTTTCCTGTTTAATCATTCCAGTGATGACTCAACAGAGCAACAGAAAACACCCTTTTCCACTAGGCCTGGCTGGGAAGGAAACGGATAAACGCATTGGGCATTTTTGGTGATTCAAGGGCTTGCAGACAACAAAAAGCCAGTGTAGGGAAGAGGAAAGCATGACAGTGACTGCTAATGTGTCAATGGATCACAGAGACAAAGAAAGAACGAAAAGAATCATGGGCAACCTAATAGACCAAAGAGGAGACTTATTTCAGCCCCCAGCTTCCAGACAATGCAAAATTGCATTCTGCTTTTCAGTCCACCTGTCCCTCTATCTTCCTAACAGTTCGTAGTGAGAGGTCACAGCACACAAGACAATCCATCACATTTACAGTATTCTATGATTCATCATGACAAATGAACAAGGATGCTGTGCTCTCTGCAGCCACCTCTCATGACAACTACTACCTGGATTCTCCATCTCACACTGCAAAGGAATCAACCTGCCCAAGGATATTATATGAAAAACATTGGAGAATGACAGCTGAGCAGGTCAGAAGGCAAGTGGTTAATTGCAGATACTGCACTTCTTTCCATGTCTATCTGGGTTGCTTAGCTACGCCCGAAAGTTCTAGCTGGGACAATAAAGGGAAATTAGTAATCTGAGTGCTGCTTGAGAACTTGTCCCACCAGAGCCTTCCTCTATGACCTCTAACAGGCATCTTAGCACTGTTTCTTTAGAACATCTGAAACTGGATCAGAGAAAGATACTTATTCAAATAGTTTTTCCAGTTTTTATATATATATATCTGTGTGTGTGTGTGCACGCATATGTGTGTGTAAACACACATATTTTTATTTAACATTCTCTGCCATCTAGAAAAACTCCCAGTCCTGATGGAGATGTCTAGGCTCTCTATTCAGTGTGCACAAGAGAGAATGAGATCTGAAACAGTCAGCAGACAGTCACCAATGAGATGCCAATGAGCAGGATGATAACAGAAATCCCTTTTCTTGGAAGTAAACCAGATGCTTAAGACACCTGAAGACTTTAGATGCCTCCAAGATAAAGCAGGAGCTCAACAGGCTTGTTGACCTTAATTCTTTTTCCAGATCTAGTTCTCCAGGCCTCTCCACACTTCCTTCTCTCCTCTGATTCAGGGGTAGTGGACAGCAGAAGGACACTCAGTATTCAGACAACAGGAGCCATGGAAATTTCCCAGTTGGGTTACACAACCATCTACAAAGGAACACCTATTTACGCATTGCTAGTTCCTGGAATGGAACCTGGGCCCTTCTAGATTTAAATACAAAAATCCACACTACTTACACTAAGAACCCATGTGCCACTTACAGACCCATTCATGTACAGACTCTCCAAGGAGTTCAACGATGTAACAAGAGCAAATCTGTTGTGCATCAAAGGGCACACTCATATTTTTGCATCATATCTTCATTGTGCCTTTGCTTTGTGCTGGCTTCCTCCTCATACGATATTTTGATAATGATGTTTTTTTTCAAAGGAGTGACAGTAGCGATGTTAACAGCAACACAAGTACCACCATCAGCACAACTCCCCTTGGCCAGGGTTCCTAGCCAACACTACCCACAGCACTGAAGCAACGGCCTACCAAAATTGCTCTGGCGGTCAGAAGTTCTTGAGACCCCTTTTTTGTAAAGCTAACCCATCCCTTCTCCTTACCTGTTGAGCATGTTGGACTGGTAAATCCTTTTCTCCTGGGTGTTGTAACAGCTGCTTTTGGGCTCGGGGATGAAGCTGTGTTCAGACAGCATATCAGAAGCAGCCGTGGTGATTATGGCTATTCCGTCCCTCACTCTAGCAGGAAGACCGTAGTCCCATTCATCATATGAGACAGAGATGAGCCCAGTGGGGAACTCAGATGGCACTGTGTCTGTATCCCCTGCCACCAGGCTGGGCACGATCCACGTGTAACCATAGCCTGTCAGACCCACAGAGTTGGCCACCTCAAAAATGTAGGTGGCCTCTTCCTTGGTGCAGTAGAGGAGGATAACAGGGCTTTGGAGCTTCTTGAGCTGGTTCTGGATCTTTGAGTCTCCATCATCCAGGGACATGTCCAACAGAAGGACCTCCTCCAGTTCCCAACCCACAAAGCTGTGCTCAATGGTACTGCGGATCTTGTTCACAAAGTCCTGGTAACCAGGAAAGTAAGTAGTGACAATGGAGAAGATGTACCAGTCATATTCTTCCATGATGTTGAGCATGACTGAAGCTTGCTGTTCTATTGATGGGCCAAACTGGAAGAACATGGATGACTCATCCTAGAATAGGAAGTCAAAGAGAAAGAGAAAACAAGAATAGGTCAAAGGAAATAGACAACATTCCTAGTCAACTCACTGAGTGTGGAAGGGGAGGCATACAGTTAGAATCTTGCACTTCATGTCTTGGCCACATTTTAAGGATTTTTAACAAAGTGAAGCAAGTGGGAAGGAAGTAAAAGCTTTTTTTATGACCAGCTGTCCTTAATTTATTTTTAAAGGCACGTTGCTGAAATTACTTAATGTTTCAAATATTAGGCATGATTCAAACAGATAGAGAACAACTGGAGCACAAACAAGGCCAGAAAAAGAATACATGCAAAATATTCTATGTTTGCACAAATCAACAGCTTTAATACCAGGATTATCACAACACTACATGTAGGATAAAGAGGGCACAAAGCAGCTTTGGTTTTTTAGTTTGTTTGTTTGTTTGTTTGTTTTAAGTTTGGGACAGTACTCTAGCTTAATATCCAGACTGAAATGCACCTAGATTAGGTACAATCATTGAACACAAATCTGAGAACCTCTGCTTCTGTTTCTTCTCAAAACAAGCAGTAGCATGAAGTACTACAACTACGAAGTCTCATTTCAGAACAACTTAGAACATGCTAAAGTTGAAAAAAAAATCTAGGGTCTTGTTTATTGTCATATTTTATAGAATGCCATATAGAATAACATATGTCATATATTTTATGAAGTGTTCATTCATTGCCTTCTGTCATGCCAGGTTCATCTTTGTGAGAATCAGAACGTGCACCACTTTATAACTTCCAAGACTCCAAAGGCATTTTGCACAGATCATCTCTTCAGTGGCATAGTGTAAGCCTTTTTCATCCTAAGTTTTTACAAGATACCACCATTTCAATATCTGAAAGATTCAGTAAAATCCAAATCCCTGCTTTTGCCCTGTTCTTGATAGAAACAAAAAAAAACCATTTCTTAATATGCTCTCTTACAATCTGATCTTTGTTGTTTAAAACCAACTGCAAACTCCCACTGATTTCAACAGGTTAGGATTTGATCATAAACAAAAAAGGTAGAATTACTGTTATCTTTCTGCAGAGATTCACATCACAATAAGGAAACCCTCCAAATCCGATCACCGCTTCTTCTTCCCTGCCAGAAAAGCTGAACCAAAAATCCAAAAGGAAGCAGTCAAGAGTTTTAGATTAGGGGAACTCCTTGTGTAAATGCCCAAAAACATTACCTCAAGATATTCCCAATGTAACGCTGTAACGTGATGAAAAGCACAGCAATGATAGTAAAGTCCTAGGCTATAGCAAATGAGGACAAGCCCCAAATGCAGCAGCCATGAACACAGAAACAAAGGGAAAAGTATGCTTACCCTTAGAAGACCTCAGGCAAACAGGGATCTCCAGCAAGCTACCCTTGCCTCCGCTACCAACCCTTACGTAAAGTCTGGGAAGGGCTGGATCCTGGCTTCATGCCTTCTGGTCAGGTGAACTGCATGCACCTGAGCTCCCCTGGGTTGGCCCTGCCTTCCCACCAGGTGTTCAATCACTGTTTCAAGCTGTAACTTAGCATTTCCACTATACCAACTCTCTACCAAAGTCACTCTCTGACAGTTCAGCAGGTAAAGCTGGTTTTCCACAATGGTGTCAGTTAATCAGGCGTCCATCCCTTCTTTACTCATGCTTTTTATTACCTATTGCCATTTTGTCTATCAGTAAAAATATGCTAAAGCTCAGCAACTCCAGGAAAAAAAATAACTCTGATCTTCTGACCAGCCTTGATTCTTTTTCCTCAACTTCCAGTTGGTCATGTCCTATACGGAGTTTTCACTCTCAGATCCCCAAGCCTTTCCTGTGAGTTCTGGTGATTAACCTCTATTCACTTCAACCACCCACTCGTGAAAGTTCTCTTATGGCTGTTCTTTACTCACTGGAAAAATAAATGTACACAAAAAGAAAAAAGAAAAAAAAAGAAGGCAAATTGGAAACAGGAGCAGCAACTGAGCTTCACAATCTGTGGAACACAGTTCAAGTTTTCTGATCACTGGAATTCACACCCTTCCCCAACTACAATTGTGCTCAGGAAAAAAATCAAGAGATATGTTTTATCTTTGAAGCTTACAGAGACAATCAGAAAAAACAGATGAAAGATTAAATAACTGCCACAGCACTTGCCTGATATCGAAGACAGCCTGAAGAAGCATCTTCAATACCCTTCATTGCACTGTGCCTTTGCAAGCCACCTGTAGCAAACTGATTGCTACACTGTGAGTGATAACTACTTTTTTATATATTAATTCAACAAAAGCTCTTCTATTTTTATGCACAGGAAATTCTGCATTGACAGCAAAATTCCACAGTTTCTATCAGAGAGTCTAAGAGTTGAAGGACCTGACTACTGAATTACAGAAAGATTTGACACACGGGATCTAGACGTCTGGATGCTTTCCTCGGTGATCAGGAAGGGACATGAGATGGTAAATCCAATAGTTATTTCAAGGCTGCACACGCAGGACATGCACACACAGGAGTTACTAGACATGGTAGCAAGGTGCAGGAGCTACTGCTGTCTCTGAGATTCAAAACCCCGTCAGAAGCTCCAGCTAAAGCACATGCTGACAGTTCATTCCACATGAGTGCACAGCACAGTTGAAGGAAATTCTCTCTCAAAAACTCAGGCAGAAAATTCAGCACTCCTCACTAACCAGAGCATAGCAGAACATCAAATATCAATACACAAAATAGGTAGACTTACTACAACCCAGCTTAACAGCTCACCTTTACAGAGAAATAGATACATCGCTCCTCAAATCAAAGAGCATGAACCATCTGGCTGTGCATGTGATTACCATTATTACACAACTGCTCGCATCTTTATTACAGAAGCTGCAAGAAGATGCAACTTCTATTCAAAATGAAAGCATTCAGGAAGTGCAAGCCAGCCCAGATTTTGGCTTGGCAAGATTTTTTTTTGCACTTAATCACACCAATGCTTGGGCTAGCCAATTGTTCTTCATTCCCTAACCAACTCAGCACTCAGAAGAAAAAAAAAAAAAAGAGGGGTGATGAAGGAAGGACATACAACAGTGTGGAAGAAAGTGTTCCTTTCACAATAAATCAGGAGAAGTGCTGATGGAGCTCAATGAGAATCTCCGTGAGTGCAGTTTAGGAGGAAAAAAAAAAAAAAAAAAAGCAAACACAGAAAAATGACTTCTCTCCTTATTTTTGACCACACCTAATGGAAAACCAGGGAAAAAGATAAGATACCTAAACTGACAGAGAATCACGGGGCTATCAGAGCAGGAATTTGACTTCACTGTGGTAGTGCAGTGAAAGATTTTAGATTAGGAGGCAGATCTACATTTTTTGCCTACTGGTTTGTTAGTGCTTTATTAATTTAAAATCAAAAAGCAATGTTTTGTCTCTCCAGAAATTTAAAGTTTCAGAAAGCACCACAAGCTCCTTTTTTAAAACTGCAGAAATTTCATAGTTCACCCTCTCCTTTTTCACCTTGGAGCACCCAAAACGTGATTCACCATTGCTATTAAAAGACAGATTTAAGTTTGGGATAGAGATAGCTTGAGTTAGAAGTAGTTCCTTATGTTGTGCATCACCCAGGTGTAATACAATCCCCTGAAAAAGGCTTGTTTTCATCCTACAGCCTTTCACCCATAAACTTGGGCTCCTCGTAGCAAGCTGCTTCAAGAGAAAAGTAAGATGCAGAAGAGGTGTCCCTCACCCAGTCTGGGAGTAGAGAGCCTCTATTACAGGATCTCGGTGCCTCCAGAGATCCTACTACTCCCCCACTGTCACCCTGTAAGGTCAGGAAGCCGTAGTTTGCAGAGCAGAGCTGGAGGAGGAGCTGATCAATTGACACAGCACCACTCCCCAGCTTGACAGATGGCTTCCCACAGAAAATCTGCTCAAGTTTGCCGCTGCTGGGACAAGTATTGCCTCCCCCTCCAGCACGTTTAACCCTTTAGGGAAGGAGGCTGGATTGTACTCTGTACAAAGGCACTCATCCAGAGGACTCTTTAGGAGACAGTTCATATGTGGATGGAGAGGGGATTCACAGAAATGGTGCAAGATTCAAGGAGTGACCAAGTATTACTGCCACAACTTAGAAGTTGAGTGCCTTTTGTACCTCAGCAGCAGGCCCATGCAGGTGCTGCATGGGGAGCTGGGCACAACCTGACTCTGGACCTGGACCTGTGACCAGGTCCAGGTTGCAGGCCTTTGGCTAAGATGCAGACCACTCTGAGGAGCCCTCCTGCAGCTGCACCACTTGAAACCAAACTCTGCCCTTTAGCAAGCTGTTTACCTTAGCTATGACAGGTCACAGAGAGGTTCCCAAATTGCTTTTCTTGCAAGTTCCTTCCTAACAGCTTCTCTGGATTCCCCAGGCATGTAAAAGCAATTACTCCCTTGCAAACATCTTTCTGTTGAGAGCAAAACTCCTTCTGAGTATGTAGAAAACTTCAGAACATCCCTAAAGCAGAGGAAATGGCAGGACCCCTAAGAAGAGCTGCAGTGGGCCACCCATAGCTGCTGACTTAGGAAGTGCGGAGACAGGCATTTTATTTCTCTTTCTAAGCTTCCGCCATGCAGGTGATGCAAATGTAACCTGGTTCTATGTCATGCTGAGTTGATACGATGGCTGAGCCTTGAACAGATTTTTGGTAGCGGTGGGCAAGTTGTTTAGCAAGTCTAGTGCAAGAGCCAGACCGCACAAGAGCCAGGTGTGTCAAGCTATGCACAAGGAATCTAAGGAGCATGTGTTTGCTTTTCATATTTGACTCTTGTTTTTTTTTTTTTCTTCCCCAAAATGTCCTACGCTGCTATCTTTGCATAGGTGCAAAGGAAATGCAATTTTTACTGCTCTGGGAGCTGCTCCCTTGTGTTAGGCTTTAAGGAACATCAGTATACCCTAATGGCAGGGGATGGAACTAAATGATTTTTAAGATGCCTTCCAACCCAAGCCATTATATGATTTTATGATTCGATACCTAACCCCATTTGCTGATGTAC